CATTATAACTCATCAAGCTCATCCAAGGTTGGTAAGGGTGGGGCCAGCAAAGAGGAAGGGAGTGAAGCATGGGTCTGATACAGACAACTGGGAAGGTGGCATGACGTACCATAGTGACTTTGATGAGTCACAAGATGAAGATTTGAAAGAATATTTACAAACAAATGCCAACTTCCTGGCCCAGATGTGCAGCACTGGAGGCTTTTCAGTGGCTCGTTTATTCAAAAATAATTGAGTTTTTTTTGCAAAAAGACGTGTCGTGTGTTCTCACGTCCATGCTTTTCTTTGGTCACTGCTCCTTGCTGGGAACCGACCCACACTGCTGTGAGTAGCATGTTTGAAAAGCAATTGAAAAGCACGCTTGTTTCCAGCTTTTGAACAAATTGTATGAGGATGTCTCTGGACTGGTGCGAAAGCATCTTCCTCCAGGCAATGTCTTTGATGTTTATCAGTTCTATTGTGGCTGGTGCTCAGCTCACAGTGTTGAGGAACAAGCTTCGTTTCTTGGGCTTTAGCTGGTGGTGGACCTTTCCATCCCTCTCTCTCTCTATATATATATATATATGTGTTTTTCTTAAAGAGGGTTTATGTGTTTTTTGGGGAATATTTTGTGGGCCCAGTGAGGATATTTTGAAACATTGCCCTGAGGTATCCGACCTTCTTGAAATACTGGAATGCAAAGTGGACCCTCATTCTGAAATTCCGTGCTCAATCAGAATTTGCCACTTGCGATGTTTGCCAAGAGTTGAAAGCCCAGCCACTCTGCTCGTGTTTAATTTTTCTTTGTACATGCAAAGTTCAGTGCATGTATATATATAATTGTTGGTTGTTTCTTTAAACAGAGATGATGGTAGAGACCTGTCGCAGTCGCAACAGCAGGTATCAAAACCGGGACCTTCCTATGGCAGGTCGCCTTCAAGCCCTTAAGTTGTACCGGAACCACCTGGTCTCGCAATATGCAGACCGTTGCTCATTCTGGAGCCTGAAGGATGTTGCTGGGGACCAGTTATCCCGAATTCTGGTGGTAGCCACGGACGGCGCAGACCAAGATACTTTCCTAAACCAGTGTTTTCCTTTTTTATGAAGCGATTTGTATGTGTGACGGGGCTTGTATGTTTGCATGGGTTTGATTGGGTTTGTCATGCTGAAGCTGAGGCTAAATATTGTATACCCAGATCACCAGCTTTACAAACAGCTCATCGAACACAAAAACTCATCAGACCTCGGTTGAAGCTTCACGCTGCTTGGAGTTTTGCACACTGTTTGAGGGTGTGCGTGCTCGATGAGACCACCTACCATGGGAGCAGCATGGTTATCCAGATTCTGGCGATGACAATAGAGGATTCCATGAGGATTGCTGAATCCCGTGGTGTGAAGCCTGATACAATCATCATAATATCAGACAACACCGTCAAGGAATTCAAAAATTCCAATTGCCTCAATTACCTCCTGAGTTTAGTTTCGCACAAGCACGTCCGGTGCCTGCGTAATTGACTAAGCAAGCTTTTCAGTATTGGTGAGTTTTTGTAGAACTTTGTTGCAACACACATCTTAAAGCAAACATGTTTTTCCCCTGAGGTATTCCTGTGCCATGATGATGCGTGTGGCTCACACTCACGACATCGTCGGAGCCTTGTCTGATTGCAAAGGGTGGCGTGATTCACCAGTGTTGATTTGATGTTTTGTTTCTAGAGGTATGGTGATGCTTGTAGCTAATGCCCAGTGGAAAGGGGTTTGAATCTGGAGAGTGTGTCACGCATGCTCGTTTCCAGACCTCAAGTAACCAAAGAAAGGGTTCGACTTCCATATTTTGCATAACTTGGAGATGTTTCTCTTTTCTGCTCCTGGTGGGTTAAGCATTTGATTCCCGTGAACTTACTGCACACATGATGTGTTTGCAGAAGGATCAGCCACACTTAAGCATTTCCTTTCACCTTTGCGAACTTAGACCAGCTCTGGGGGCTGCTGAGTCGACAACTGGGCAAAAATCCGAGCATTGTAGACACCGACTCTGCTGTCTCTATTCTGAAAAATGAACTTCAGAAACCATCTGTTCGTGCTTGGGTGAATGGTGAGATCTATGTTCACACCCTGCGGACACACAGAAATTGGAAAGAACACTACCAGAGATTTGCACCTGTGCATTTTGAAACTCAACTGATATTGGCAAAGTGTGTTCAAGTTTACAGTTCTTTTTCAACCCCTCTTCAATGTCGTCATTTCTTCAAATCCACCCTCAGCCAACAGCTACTTGTGAGGAAGGAGGACTTTTACTTGATATCACCGCGAACCACTTCTTCTTCTTTTGCAGAAGAAAAGGCCATTGGGCTGAAGTGCTTTCAGGTTGAAATTCCAGTTTTGCTGAAAAAGGAATGTGTTGGCAGGCCTTCCATTCTGTTGAAATGTTTTCTTGGCTTAAGTTTGTTGAACAAACATTCAACTACAATATGAGTTATGTTTGTTCAAACATGGACTGCTTCACATACAGTTTTGCCAAAGTATAATGGTTGGATGGAGTGTTGCGACCCTGATGAGATCTTCCAGACTTGGAGACAGATGAGAGTAGGCATGCTCGGCGACCCAAAACGGATGATGATTGCTTCGTCCTTGTGAAAGAATATATTAGCTCAGTGCACCTTCGACAAAAACCATTGCTCTGTGCCATCCCGGAGAAACCAATGCCCTTGGTTGCAGAAGGATGCTTGTTTGATGTTTAAGCAACTTATCCATTGATGTTTGTGCTTTGCTTGTGTTATGGGGGCTGTCTTCTCCACACTTGTTCTTTGGAAACAACATCCCAAATAAAGTAAAGCATTCACCAGAACCAAAACAGGAATTATGCCTTTGCGTCCAGTTGTCGCATCTGCGAGGGCTGAGTGGCTGAAACTTGCTGACATCTTCAAGTCTTTGCTTGGTGGGACAGAGGAGACCAGAAGAGCCAGCTTGTATTTGACACAGCTTGCCACTGACACCCTTCCACGTGAAGAGCTTGCGCCATTGTTGTGGCATTCACGAGTCCCAGACATGGAGGTGATGCCTATAGCTGCTGAAGGTGGACCACATGAAGTTGTTCTGGCAGTTCTTTGCCCGTCAGTGCCGTTGAGAGTTGTGTGGCACAGAGGAAGGTAGACCTTCACCAAAGTGCACTTCACCTTTCACCAGCAAGAGATAAAAAAGGAACTGTTCCTTCACGAGTCACGAGTGGAACAACTTAGGTCAGGTTCAGGTTCAGGTTTGAACATGGGCAACTGAGGCCAAAGCACATCATCTCCAAGATGAAGTGCGCCCAAAACTTCAGTGAGTGGAAGACGGAGGATTTGGGAATGCCACCCACAAAGATTTTGATGACGAGATAACGCCAAATTTTTCGTTGTGGGTGGGCTGCCCAACCACAAAGAAAACAATTGGCGTAGGGGGGGTGACCCAGAAATCTCAAGTTTTTGAAAATTGGAAAATCTGGGTCAGGGGGTCTACGTCAATTGTTTTCGTTGTGGGTGGGCAGCCCAACCACAAGGACTTTGATGACGAGATAACGCCAAATTTTTCTTTGTGGGTGGCATTACGCAGACCAAAGTCGGTGTGGGTGAGGAGCAAACCCACGCCGATTTTCCCCACCCACGCCGATTCTTCATTACGCCAGGGAGCAAACCAACGACGATTTTTCATTACGCCGATTTGTCACTGTTGCTGATCAAGCGGTTTTTGCTGAGAGTGGGGCACAGCTATGGAGAGTGCTTTACTGAAGTCTGGTGTTGCAGCTGCTCATGCGGTTCTTCGGGCGAAGCCAGAAGCTTCACCAGTGAAGAGTGAGGCAGATGCTAAGGATGTAGCAAAGAAAGAAGAGCCTGGACCCAGTCCAGTTTCTCATCTGTTGATAGAACCTTTTGTTTCTCCTCATTTGAGGCCAGCTTTAACATGTTGCTAAAGTATTAGCATGCCATTGAGGTGAAGATCGAACCTACTGATCCAATCGCAAAAAGACGAAAGTCTGAGTGGATGGCTGGGTGCAAGAAACTTGAAGGTGATTGCTCCTTTGTGAAGGACTGTGTTGTTGTGTTATATAATATCCCCCCGTAGCTTGGGTGGCAGGGTTGGGTACACATCTGAGTTTGTCCACCAGGAAGTGCTTGACTACCTATCTCTATTCGCGGATCCCGGCAAGATGCAAATTGAATCGGACGAGTTTGTACACCCATTGGACCTTGTCATGGGTGCTTTTAGAGATGATGAAGCTGCAGCATGCACTTGTCGCAAGCTTCACACCTTCATGGAGGACCTCTTCAAGGTGCATGGGAAGAGCTTTCCGAGAGCAACAGGGGAAGCTACTCAACCCAACTATGGACTATGCATGTATTGTTTATGTCCAAAGTTTTCTTTTGTATGCAAAATATTTGCTGTGTTAATGGACCTGTATCAGACCAGGACCTGGCAACAATGGCCAGATCCACTCGCTTGACAACAAGGGTGCCTTTGGATGCTATCCACATCCGCCCACCAGTTGATGGGCTTCCAGTTGTTGAGGACTTCCTGACATGCTGCATAAGTTTTCTATTTTCTGGTTCTCGCCTTGATCGAGAGCCTGTGGACCTATGCTTGGATGAACATATTCCACCTCCAGAGGAAGGCAACGCTTACAGACCAGTCCTTTCAGTGAAGAAGGGATTCACACGCTTGTTGCTTGGTTTGATCATATGTACACCTGTTCTTTTCTTGTCAGTGTTGACTGTTCACTGGTGACATTTTGACGTGGTTTTCCTCAGACTATTCAGGATGTCTGGATTGTTCCTGCTGCTTGTTGCATCAGACCTTGACCCAGTACTTGCGAAGGACTGCAGGGTCATCAAAGCAGGTGTTATCCATGAAAATCTAATGTGCTGTGCTTCGAGTTGCAGGATCTATTGCTGCCTTTGCTCCCAGCGATCATTGATGTTTGGAACTTGCCAGCCTGTGTGACCAGTGGCCAACCACAGGAAGAGGTTTCCTTCGAAGCTATACAGCTTTCTTGCCAGGGCGCAGAGAGGCAACGCAAAAATGCACCTTGCTCGACCCCCCAGTCCTTTTTTTGTTGCGCCGTCTTTCTCTAAATACTATGTTTTAACAATTTTTTGGCACTCTGGGCCACCGTTTTCTCCACAGCTCAGGCCTTACAAATGAGCTTGCGTTTCGAGAAGTTGATGGCTGAGCACCGCCTCAATTCTGCAGACGCTGACAAGACAGAGGTGGAGTTGCTCCAAATGTTGGTGGAGAGATACAACTCATACAAATCAACATCTGCCATAAGAAAGTGGCAAATTACAGATGATATGCGGAAAAGTATTGAGGGAATAATCATCGGTATGACCTCAAGAACCAGGCAGCTCATCAGGGCACACTTGGACTATAACAAGTGGGAAGAAAGTGGCCACTGGCCTGCACAATACATTGGTCCTTTTTCCCTTGTATTGAAAGGATGTTTGTATTGTTTTTGTGTTTTCTCAGTCAGGATACAACGAGTCGCTTTTGAAAGCGAAGCGGCATCAGCTCCATGAGTCACCACGAGGGCTGACACCCTTCTGGACACAAATCTTGACAGAAACTTTGCACTGCATTGAGTTGAAACATTTTACTTTGTATTTTTGAATGCAAAACACCAAGAATTGTATGGGTGTATATACGAGTATATATTTTTACAATA